AGAGTACAAATTTCATTGCATTTGCCCGGCGGGCATTATTTATCACTCAAAATTACTTTAAAATCACCGACATTCGCTGAAAACGACCCACAAGCGTTGCCGGCGCCATTTTTGTTGTTTTGTACACATTCTCGCGTGATTTGAAAAGCCTGCATGATTTTTCTCTCCTTGGGGAGACAATTCTGCAGAGCAGCAGCTGGATGAAGAATTAATCTATACTATAATACACGCTTGATTAAAAATGATCAGTCAGGGATTAGGAAAATAATAATAATAATTGTATGCGCACAGTGTAAATATTTCTATCATATGGCAGTCTTCTGTACAGTGATGCAGGTCATACATTAAAACATTTTCATTAAATTTTTTCTCTTAGACATTAGAGTGGTGCATTTAAATGTTATAGAGCTAAACATGTTAAATATAAATATATATATATATATATATATATATATATATGAATGAGAGTCATGGATACTTGTTGATGGCAGTAAAATTAGATCTAAGAGCATTAAAAGTTACTCATTCCTCTATAAACCCTTATTAATAATTCTTGGTTTTAAACATAAAAACACAAAAGATGCTGTCGAAAGAGGATCCCAAACCTTTTTGGCTTCTGAATTGCAAAAAACCAACAGAATGGATTCATGACCCAAAATATTTGGTTAAAATATAAATCTACTTAAAACGTTTCTTAACAGTAGTCATTACATTAATCAAAACGGCATCAATAACCCATTTATTTATTTTTAGTCATTTCTAGGTGATGTTTTGATTTCTCTAGACACATAATTTTTTTTAATCATTATCATTCTTAATGTTCAGTGTATTTTCTTAGAGGATCTTAAGAGCCCAGACTTGTTGAAATGTGACCCCGGTTAGGGTCACGACCCCAACTCCAAGAATTAGGGGTCTAAATGACTTTACATGTAAACCCGATATGGTCTCTGTGTTGACAGAACCAAAGTGGGTCATTTAAAAAATGCATCATCCGACCTCCCCGTGAACTGCTTCTATGGCCTGAAACTGGCACATGGCGGATGTAAGTGAGTGGATGTAAATAATCTGCTTCTTTCATTTCTTTACCAGCTATGCCTTTTATTTTCTCTATATTTTTCAGACTCCTTGGTTTGGTTAAATCCAAATTAGAATAGTTTTCATAAGTTCAGGATAATTTGTGGTGCGATTGTCCAGACATTCTCTGTATTCATTAGCGTATTCGAGTTTGGCCCTATCACTTTCTCCCATGATGATAAAAGCTGAAATAGAGTTGCAAAGCTGTCACTTTTAACTCACAGTTATGTCTGAACATTTGCCTCCAGCTCTGATCCTGTAGTCAGAGATTTGGAGCCAGCAGAGAACTGGTCAGAGTCAGTCCAAGATGAATTACAGCACATGGGTCCATAAAACAGCATTCCAAGCCACAACCCAGCATGCGAGATAATATCCCGACCAGCTTTATTGTTGCTGCTCTAATTTAGATCTGCTCGCACCGCAAGAAGTTTGCATATATAGACTTCAACACCACTGATTGCCTGCAGTCAATATGTTGAGGGATGGTTCTGCTGTCTGTTTATTCCCTCCTCTGCGCCGGGATGGCGTTATAGCGAATCATGGCGATCTTTAGCAGCCGCACCTCGTCTCAGATCATTTAATACTCCAGTAAACGTGCAGCAGAGCGTAGCTTCTGCAGCTTTCTCTCATATGACACACAGGAGGGTAGATTTCTGTGCTGATTAATCCAATTTTTATCTCTGGGTTGCCGTTTTGTTTATCCAAGAAAAAACAGGAAGGAAATTTGATAGTTGTGATGGAGAATCTTTTTATATTTTATTCATTTCTAGTATAAACTTGTTAAAACAGTCAAAACTGGTCTAATTTATGCTTTCTTTTTGCTTTTCAGAGAAGAGAAGCGAATGCTATAGACAACAACCTGAGGTCCTCCATTGGAGAAGGTAAACTCATCACACAGACACCTCCACATCTAAGAAGTAGAAAACTGTTTAACCAGCTTGTGTAGCTGTGTTTGAGTTGGAGCACAATCTAATCCGCCACTAAGACACATCAGCCTGTTAACAACACAGAGGTTTACATGAGCAGAGCTGGGATTAGATTTTCTGCTAACAGTAAACTAGGAAAGGCTTTTCCAAGGATTGACTCCTTAAAAAGTTTTTAAGAAACTTTTTATTACGGGTCCAAATGAAAGTCTCACAAAGTCAACACGAAAACGAAAAACTTATAAGCCTTCTAAAATCAGCAAAGGTAAACTAATGAAAACTTTTCAGAGTCTGAAGCAGTTAGAGAAATCTACTAGTTCGATGTAAAGGCATTGCTGGGAAAATTCAGCCTCTGAAGAAAGCTTTTAAGATCAAAATGATGTATTGGTGCCCTAATAACACACAGAATGGCATCTAACACTGATAGAAAAAAAAAATAATATGGTTTAATATCTGCAGCAGGAATGTCTGCGTTTAGGCAGGAGAAATTTCTCTTAACTTCTCTTAATTTTAAGGTATTTGCATGAGGGTTAGAATACCATAAATTCTGTCATTTTATTAATGACTGAGATTGATGCAGATAATATTTGTAAAATGCATTTTATTTTACTTCATTATATTTAAAGAGTTTTACCATTTCATCTCCTATCAGAGAAAAAAAAATGTATTTCATTTGTGTTTTTTAGATATTTTGAAGGTAGGACTTATATCAGGAGTTCTTTGTGATTTAATAAATCAGAGATTTTGTGATTTCTTTTTTTTTTGGTTAATATTCTGGGAAAGTCGCTTTAATTCAACCAGCTGACTGGTAAGCATTCTGGAAAAGAGGAAAGTCTGAGCTTCCACTTTCAATCCAGGCCATGCCGAAGAATGGTTACGAAAGAGGAACTGGTTCCACTAGAAAAATTCCCCGAGTGTTTTTTCCTTCCCTGTGGTATTAGGCCCGATGGCTGGAGGGGAGGGGGGGTGTTTCATGTAGCAAAGTGCTTTGTGTTTCTGTAAAGCTCAGCAGATAGTTTGGCATGCGTTTGCCTTGTCGCAGTTTATTTCTGATACATCTCAGAGATTCCAGACGCTGAGCTTTAACACTCATTCAAGCTAATCCTTTCATCTAGATAAATGCTTCAAGCTCTTTTTTTTTTTTAAGCTCTTTACAAAACCTGTCATTTCCTTCCAGAAAACAAGCAGAGCAACAGGTCCTGTTACGTCATGTAGGCATTAAGATATGTTGGTTCAATACTTCCACATATGCAGTCCTGGTAGGGAAGTTTCTTACCATCATCTCTGGAAGGAGTGTGATTCATTTTGGACTGGATACAAAATTCCAATTTTCAAAAACAGGAATTTGATAAATATTGCATCAATTGGATTAGTTACGCTGGCTGCTTCTGTAGCTTTATACATGCACACACCAGTAGTTACCTGCAAAGATGTTGTCATGTTTCCTGGTACAGACTTGACCTTAAAACTTGAGTTAAATAATTTCTACTTCTTTATTTAATCAGAGATTTCCAATGAAACAAACAGCTTAGATTTGAGTCAGTCTGGAAGTGTTAGAGCAGGGCTGTATTCCTTAGTCTCCTGGATAATTCCTGAGCTGTGGCAGCAGACCAAGCGCTTTGAATTCTGCCGAGGAAAGTGGTTTGATATCCAGCCAGATTATGATGAATGTAAAGTATTTGTTGTCGAGGCACAGTTAGTTATGGGACATTGAACTAGATGCAGATTTAACAACCTTCCCACGGATGATGAGCATATATTAACCTTCAACCACAACTGAATATACAAAGCTGTAGCCTGACTTCCAGTTAATAGAACAACCTGCTTACTTCTCTAATATTTCTTCTGAGTGTCATACAGGGAGATTTTTCCTTTGTAGTGCAGAAGTGTTGCTATAGCAACGCACACTCGGAGCATTAACGCGTTTACAGAGAGGTGAATCTGTTTCTGTTCATTTTCACAGAGCTAATCTATTAAAATAGACCCGAGAGTGGAAAAAGCTCTTGAAATACTCTTCTTTAATTTAAGCCACCTTAAATGTATAAAATGCTGAAAACATAGTTCTCACGGATCATGTGATCAAAGTTGGCTCACATGATCCGTGAGAAGTTGTTTTCATGCATCTGAAAGCCATTTGATCTTCATCACTGAAGATACTTTCACTTTCAATGATTAATGAGGACTTGAGGGCAGTAAAAGCAAAGGAGGGAGAGTGTTGAAGAACTTGTAGCTGCAGGTTAGACTCTGGCCTCCACAGCATGTACTGACATGACACCCCTGTGGTACAACTTTAAACTCTCAGGCTCCAGAATTATAAACAAAGCGGCAGCGCCCTCTGGTGGTGCCTCGTTGTGCCTGACTGGATGCAGCTACATGTAAATGAGTCTCAACATATTTATATTAACGGGATCAAAGCATGTCCTGCAGGATGTAACCCTGCAAACTGTTGGTTTAAAGTGATGAGTGGGGGAAAAGCCATGGTTGGAAAGAATAAAAATGGACTGCAGCGCGCTGGAGGCTGTGCTGTGTGATTATCATGTGCACACTGCCACACAGTGTCTCTTTTGTTGTCACTCCATATTAACCAATGAGAGATTTTATGCTGTTTTTAGTTCCTTCGCACAGGATGCCAACTTCTGACCTTAAATTCCTGACAAGTTTTCTGTTTGTCTTTGTTTATGAAACCAGCTTTTGCATCTGCACCCATGTGCTAAATTGTGATGTTTAAATCCTAACCATAACTCGCACACTTTTTTTTTTAAAGTTTAAAATGGTGCTGTGATTACAGAGTTTAGGACCACCCTCCACCATCAGGGACTTTTTTTCCCCTGGAAATTACTACCTACCTGCTTCTTCTTGCCTCCAGTAAGGAGCTTTATAGAGCAAAGCTGTAATTTACGACTCCACCCCTGTTTTAGGAAAAAAAAAAAAGGCTTAAATTCGAAAGGAAGTGTGAGTATTTATACAGAAATCTGTTAAAACAGCAGAACCATTCATTTTGGTTCAAAAACAAAGAAAAATTAAAAATAAACATCTTACATCTGATTCAATATTATGATATATATAAAAAAAAATATATCTCTAAAAGACCAATCCAGAATTAAGAACATCTAAATACAGGTGCTAATGTGATCTAGGAGATCAAATATCAGAATGAGGTTAAACAAGTTCTGGTTTTCTCTCCCCTCTGTCTGGAGGGAGAAATCAGCACCAGCTGCAGAAGAAGTAACTAAGTACTTCCTGAAGCTAAAATAAAATAATAGTTGGAAGCTGGCCATGCTACCCGTCTTAATGATTTCATAGCCACAATGTCATCTTTCAGGGAAAAGGATCTAAAAGTAACGCAGTGTGAAAGTAGAGCAGGTTAACTTGCATCAGGGCTGGTAAAGAGGAGTCACGCAGGCTTGGTGTGCGCTGGTTTACAGAATATGGGGGCTCAGCTTTTCCTGATTGTGTGACCATAAACTGTCCTGTGTCCTATGGCTGTTTTATAACCCCTTTATTTACACCATCAGGTTTGCTGGAATGGGTAACCTGCTAAAAGTCCTTACAAGAGAAATAGAGAACTATCCGCACTTTTTCCTGGATTTTGAAAGTAAGTGTGCCAGCCGAGTGGAGCGCCATGTGTGGAGGGGGTGGGGTGTAGCCTGCTCAGCTGTTTGTTTGTTTTTCCTTTCTGCTCAAGATGACAAACAATGGAAACGAAAAGCCGCCTCTCGCTCCACTTCGTCCTCCTGCGCTTCTTCTTCCTTCTCCTCCCTCTGCTCGTTCCTTCAGCCAGTGAAGACCTCCTGCTCTATCAGATAACTTTTTAATGCTCTTTTTAACACAAACTCCTTTTCTTCCTTTCCCTGTTTTTTTTTCCTCTCTGTCTTGCAGAAACCAAATGGGGAATCTGTTAAAAGTTCTCACTTGCACAGAGCTTGAACAGGGGCCAAACTTTTTCCTTGACTTTGAAAGTGAGCATGACTTTATTCCTGTCCCTTTTCTCCCTCCATCTTTTGTCTGAACTTCTCTCCTGTTGTTTGGAGGGTCAGAGCTCAGCCTGTTCAACATCTCTATTGTCTTCCTTTGAATGTATGTTTCTGTTATCCATCTTTCTGTCTCTATTTTCTGTGATGAACAATCAACGTTTAACACATTTTATTCCTTTATCCATTCCTATAATTAGTGCACACATTTATATAAAGAGTTAGGTGAACTTTCCTCAGTGGCAGAAACTAGGATGAAGCTATATGCTTTAGTTAAGACCTCCCACAGAGAAGTCACACTACACCTCCACAGTAGCATTTCAGCTGCTCTCCCAGCGCAGCCAACCTCAGGCTTTGTTTATTCACCAGAGAGGAAACGATGGGAATAGAATGTTTTTGAAATGTAAAACAGACACAGTTTTAATGGAAGGGATTTTCTATTTTTAAAGTTGCTCCTGGAAATGATATAAAAACACTGTGATATTTAGGTTTCATGCAAACTGTTTTATATGTAAACAGCTACTATTAGCCGTATAACTTGTTTGGATTTTATTAATCCCAAATCTTCTGATGAAGTCGTCCATCTGCCCTTATTTCCAATGGTTCCGATGATAGTTTGCAAACAGAGGACATTACTTTGAGATTGGATATATTGTTCAATAGTGAGTTTAAGAATTACAACTGAGGTGCACCAGTTTTAATCCACTCTAATGTCCCATTCAGGGCTGAAAATAATGGTTATGAGCTCAAATAGATCCATATACACATGGACAAAATAGTTTGTATCCCTCGTTGAATGAAAGAAAAACCCACAAATGGTCACAGAAAAAAAAAAAAAAAATGAGTGTTGCACCGATACCAGTATGGGGCAGGACCCCAATCCAGCACTAAAATGGTGGTATCTGCGAGTACCAACAAATAGGGCTACGATACCATTTATAGAGCCAAAAGTTTATTCAACTAGTGTCACCCATTCCAGGTAGACAATAAAAAGTTATACTGGATTCACTTTGTATTAGTCTTTTTCCTGCTTCACAAAGGTAGGCAGCAGCTTGACAAAGCCATGATGGCAATTATTTTACATCCAAGCAGAATGCAGTTCTTCATATACACACACACATCAATTTCAAACAGATGGTATCGGCCAATACTGCACAGCCAGGTATCGGGGCCAGAAAATGGCATCGGCACAACACTAATAAAAACTAAATATTCTATGAAAAGGAGCAAATGAAAGTCATTGCTTTTCAACCATGATTCAATACAAGGATTTAAAAAAAACACCAACAACTCACAAACGATGTTTTAGGGGTTGTTCAGGACGATGATGCAGTGTTTGATGATATCCCCAAGTCTGTCTGGACTTGATTTTAATTCACATCAACTCACAAATGATCTGCCCATTTAACACAATTATTACCTGCCCCATGCCAAGGAGGTTATGTTTTTAGTGGAGTTTGTATACAGAATAACTTAATAAGAGCTACACAAGAATAACTAAGTTATGAACTAGGGCTGAAACAATTAAGGTATTAATAATGATTAACCTATTATTAAAATAATCAATAAGTAATTTAGTAATCGGTTAATCATTAACTGGAGTGTAGGGACTAAAACATGTCTTTAGCTGATGGAGCAACCCACTTGGAGCAGTAACCACCAAAAATGTTTAAAAAACAGAATATAAATATTTTGTACTTAAGATTCAAAAACCTTTTTTAACCCTCAAAGTGCTATATTCAGAACTCAAGTAGAAAACTTTTAGGTTTCACCTGGTTTAAATCTCTACATAAATCTTCTTTAAGGAGCTTTTTGCTATCCTATTATTAATCAATTAATCTAAAAAATTATTTACAGATTAATCGAACGGCAAAATTGTAGTTTTTTGCAGCCCTATTATGAATGGATTTTAATTACATTTTTACCAAAACTGCACCTCAGTCCAAGGAACAGTGCATTAAATGTTGGTGATCCAGATCATAATCCGGATGCAGGGATACTTTAGAGGATTCTTTAAACCCACTGGGTCACCGGCGACCCGGTGGATGTTAAGTGGGGTTAATAACGACATATTTGTGGACTGAGCCAAGTCTTTGATCACTACAACCTTTATAGAGTTTTTATAGATATCTGATCTCATCCAAATAAAATAGTTCAAAATTTTTAGATCCTAAACTTATATGAATTAAATTAGAACTGTGTATTAATAGGATTTAAGAACAATATAATCATTATTTTAAATATTTGATACCAACTTTGATGTATAATTAACATTCTTTAAAGACACCAAACCCCTCAGCTTTATGTTTCATATTAAAAGTCTCAAATAGGAAATAATATTCAGTTCTTCTATCTGCTGAATGTTTTCTTTCTTCCTGTTCTTTACTCTCTTCGTTTAAACGCTTGGTTCTGTTTTCTGTGTCATGAGATTTTTTTTTATTCTTACTCATTTCCTTTCAGGTAAAAATGTGCAGATTACCTGTAAAGAACAATGAGTGAAAAATGTGCACAGCCTGAAGTTAAGGTTGATTGTTGAGTGTAATGATGGTTTGGTCGTTTCTAGATGCACAGCCGACAGAAGGAGAGCGTGAGGTGTGGAACCAGGTGAACTCTGTCCTGCAAGACTCTGAGAGCATCCTGACGGGTCTGCAGGCGTATAAAGGGGCGGGGCAGGAGATCAGAGATGTAAGAAAACAAGCAGCCGCAGCTTTCCACAGACACTTGAAGATCTGGTTAAGCCAGGCGTACACTGTGCGATTTTACGGGCGATTTTCCAGTCGTGCGAGAATTTTCCAATCAGGCCGACTTTCAACCTGATCGTGCGTCGTGCGTCGTGAGTCTTGTAGTGTACAGGAGGTTACGAAGGGCGATCAGCCTCTCAAAATGTTTGATTTTCTCCCTACCATCGTGGGCAAATCGCTCAATGGGCATGCACAAACAAGGATTATTCTTCTTCTTCTCAGATGTAAACACAGCAGCATGGCAGGGATGCAATGACTGAAATGCAGTTCTGTCTTTAAAATTGACAGACCGTAGTAGCAACGTTTGCTCAGCCATGTCTTTTTTCCAAATACGTCGTCTCCTTTTCTATTTAGGGCTTTCAGCACAAAATTGCACAAACTGCCAAGGCAGCGCGTTTCACTCTAGTGAGCTTCATATTCCTCTTCTATTTGTTTGACTTCCGGATAGACGAGTCAGAGCAGCTCCATCTCACTGCGGAGCTGAGTCCAACATGGTTTTTAGTCGTGCAGTGTGAGCAGGTAGATCGCGTGAAAGCGTCAGGCCGAACAGAAATCGTGAGCTTTGAACTCGCACTGTACGACTAAACCCTGTTGTTTCGTCGTACAGTGTGAGCAGTATCTGCATGCAGCAATTGATAAAATTGCACAGTGTACGCCCGGCTTTAAAGCCTTCATCTATCAGCTGAAGGTTTTAACCAGGATGTTGGTGCAGGATCACCATTCATTGGTGATCATGTTGGTACATAATGACCTGAACGGTTTATGAATCTGTTGCTTTGATTCCTGCTTCTCCAGGCGATCCAAAATCCCAACAACAGGACGCTGCAGGAGCGCGCGTGGGACGCCGTCTGCCCGCTGGTCATCAAACTCAAGAAGTTCTACAGCTTCTCCCTCAGATTAGGTGTCCCCCTTCTGTCCTACATAACCACACTTCAACGCCTTATTTTAGGGCCAAATGAAATGTTTACTTCATATGAAAAACCAGCTGATGTGTGCTGTTCTGTTTTCTGCAGAGGAGGCGTTGAAGAGTTTGTTGGTGTCTCTGACGTGCCCACCCCTCACCCCCACACAGCATCTGGAGAGGGAGCAGGCTCTGGCCAAGCAGTTCGCAGAGATCCTCCACTTCACGCTGCGCTTCGATGAACTCAAGGTCCGTTCCGCTCAGATCAACCCACCTCCACTCAGTCACATAAAGCAGCGGCTGTGTCAGCTGAGGATTGTTTGCTTGTCTTGATTGATGCAGATGAGAATTCCTGCCATCCAGAACGACTTCAGCTACTACAGGAGGACGATCAGTCGGAACCGGATAAACAACATGAACGTAAGACTTTGGTTTCTACCATAGACACATATGAAATGAAATCAGACCCTGTTAGTTATTGGTTGTTATTGGTTCTTCGTAGCTGGACATTGAAAATGAAGTCAACAATGAGATGGCCAATAGGATGTCTCTGTTCTATGCTGAGGCCACGCCCATGCTGAAAACACTGAGCACCGCTACGACGAACTTCGTCACAGAGGTGAGAGCGAGGATGGTAGAAAAGGTTTTTGACATGAGCTGCGTTAAATGGAAGGAGATAAAGGAAAAAAAAACATGTTTTTAATCTGAGTAACAAAGAAACATTTTAGATTTTTTATTTTTTCTATAATCAGGAAGAAGAATAAGTAAAAAAAATCTATTAGCTTAACACCAATGTTTCTATCAAACAATGTCCGTTTGGACAAAGAGAATTGGACACTTTGGCTATAATACAGCGTTAACTGTGACACACACGCAGACGACCTGGTTTCTGAGTATAAATCAGCCCTTAGTCCAGATTTCCAGAAGAGATTTCCAACACTACTTTATTTGGCAATAAAACCTTTGAAAAACAAGTCAATCTTGAATCCAAAACTAAATTTAAGGTGTCATGATACAAATTCTTGCCAATCAGTATTTAATTAGCCGCTAGCTATCAGTCCCAATATTTGTGTTCTTGGATTGTTCTAGAACAAAAGTCTTCCACTGGAGAACACCACCGATTGCCTCAGCACCATGGCCAGCGTCTGTAAGGTCATGCTGGAGACACCGTGAGTTTTTGCACATAACCTTTTTCCTTCCACTCAACTTTCCTTTAATACACCTGCCCACCCTCCGACCAGAGGAGGTCAACGACCCTCATAGGCAGCGGTCGAGGCCACATTTACTGATGTTCTACTGTATGTTTAGGGAGTATTCAAGTCGCTTCAGCAGCGAGGACACGCTGCTGTTTTGCATGCGGGTGATGGTGGGAGTCATCATTCTTTATGACCACGTCCATCCAAACGGCGCTTTTAACAAGTCCTCCAAGATAGATGTAAGAGGACTTTCCTTTTGCTGGACTTCTGTAGAGCTGAGACAGGCTGTTGAGTTCAGCATGTTCATCCTGACTTGTTTGTTTTGGGTTTTTTTCCCCAGATGAAAGGCTGCATAAAGGTGCTGAAGGATCAACCAGCAGATAACGTTGAAGGGCTCTTGAATGCTCTCAAGTATGGTTGCTGTATTTTTTTGTGCTCCTCAAACTGATCACAGCTTCAGGATCCTGTTTGTTGTCCAAGTTCACAACCTAAGGGTTTCTTTACCCTCTTTGTCTCCTCAGGTTTACTACGAAGCATCTGAACGACGAGTCCACTCCGAAGAACATCCGAACTATGCTTCAGTAACCGCTTTTTTGTTGTTGTTTTTTTTTTATAAATATTGATATGAAGAGGATCATTGTGACCTCAGACAAGATGTAAATGTTTACATTATTTAAAAAGATGTTGTTCATACTTCTGTGTATCGTGTAAAATCATACACTCCAGTTTCATTTGCCCTTCGGCTTTCATTTTATCACACAACAAGTGAGCAAGGCGGCAAAAAATATGAGCTAAACTCTACATGATGCAGAATAAATGCTCTCATTCCAGGCTTTGAGGTGGACTATAATCATTTCTGCACTCTGCAATCAGTCTGGATCCCATCCGACCAAAGCTCATAGTTCCAGTAAAGATTCATGGTCCAGCCTGCGTTATTAATTCTATGGGAAAGTTTCATTGATTTTAACTGGTTAGCTTGAAACTCCACTGAAATGTGCCTGTTTAATTTAGTTATAAACGATTTTTAGTGCAGAGGTGATTCGGTATTCATAAAATCCCTCTCGCTAAATATTTCTTCTCTATAGCCAGGCTTGAGGACTTTATAATTGGATTAAATATTATGCTGCTGGAATAAAAGAGACATTTATCTCCAGTTCTTTTACACGTTATATCAATAAATCTGCCCGCCGTCTATCATTGTTTAACCAAAAATATTTAATTCTAGATCAATTAAATTGAGAGTTGTAATATTTTTGACCCATAGATGGAAACATTAAAAGAAAAACGAATTTCTCCAAAGTGCCCAGTTTTTTATTTGATTTTAAATGTGCACCCCCCCCCACCCCACCCCTGGTTCTCCTATTTTAACTTATGGACGTTCTAAGCGTTCTTTCATGCAACATGATTTCTCAAACTAGGTTGGACAATCTTTGACTTATAAACTGTGGTTGTTGTTTTTTTTTTATTATTGTTATTATTATAAACTGAACTAATAAAAAATAAAAAAAATTGAGCAGTTTTAAAACAACACAAACTTGTAAAATACCAGAAGGCTGCCCTTACGGCCTTCATTGCCTTAAATAAGCTGACGAAGGTCCTGTCCTGTAAAACACGGGAATCCCGTGTTGGATGGACTGCAGCTATGAAGCCATACATGTTAATTCATCCCCTCCTGCATTCATGTTTCAGACTAACGTTGCATTTAAATCTGCTGTTTATACATTATTTTGTATCCAGACATGGATATGAGGCATATTTTGGAGGCCAAGAGTCAGATCCATGTGTGTCATCTATGTCTCATGTGTGAAGTGATATGAGACCCCATTCATTTGCGCTTCCTTCTACCCGAATATGTCCAACTGTGTGCTGAATGCAAGATGTTCTGAATAATCTCTTGTTTTTTTTTGTCTTAAACTGACAGTTATTGTTTGTTGAGATTTCCACTCATGGTCCATGACTGTCTTTCTGACTGGGAGGTTTGGATAATAAAGGTGGTACATTTCTTACAGGGGTTGATTCCTTGACTTTATTTTCAATAGCTCCATTTCCATTACAAATATTTGCAAAACATAATCAAGATTCTTTTAATGTCAAAATAAAAAAAAAAAAAAAAATTTTTTCATTAGATAAGAAATACTATTTAAAAATCTGTGAATGAGTTTGTTCATATAAATCAGCATCATCCTTGTGTTACTTCCTGTTGTCTGGTTGTTGATTATATGACTCGTGAAGCTAGAAATAGTGAGTTACACCATTTTCTTCAAGGTTTCATTTATTTCCTCATCGTAAAAACTATTTTTTTTAAAGGAGATATTTATTTTATTTTGCTGTCAACCAAATAATTTTTTCACAATTTGATGACCAATCAAAACACATCATTCACTATTATGTGCTCTGTAAAATCTAATCTACATTTTCAGCATTTTTTAAAAACGTTTAAACATTTATCATAGATCTACATGCAAAGTAATATTAATTAATAAAAGTGTGTGATGTGTAAACGTGGTGATTAGGCACGTTAATGTTGGAATATGGGGGCTCAGATTATCCAAAGCTATCTCTATAGTTATGCTGCTATAGGCTTAGGCTGCTGAAGGACATAGGGACCCCTTTATCATCGTTCTGCTTCATTTCTATCTCTTTTCTCCCACTCTGCAGAATCTGTTAGTTCAGTCTCTAACGTTATGCTCATTTTGCTTTTTCTCATAGTAGCTTCATCTGGTCTGTTCCTGTTTGGCTGTGACACCGTCCTGGAGAGAAATCTCTGCTGTGCTGCTGCCAGCAACACCTTTGTTTATAGATGTTGGAGATTGGCCTGTTTTTCAGTGTAGTCCTGTTTCTCTGATTGACTGGCCCGGGCAGATGGCCGCTCACACTGAGCCTGGTTCTGCTGGAGGTTTCTTCCTGTTAAAAGGGAGTTTTCCCTCTCCACTGTCGCTACAAGCATTGCCCTTGTGCCAATGAGTCGATGCAATCAACTGGTTTTACTTAGATAGAAAAAAAATTTCAATCAATTTGACTTTATGATCTGGTGAACTGTAAAGTGCCTTGAGATGAGGTATTGTGAATTGGCGCTATATAGATAAACTGAATTGAATGGAATATTGTGTAAAAAATTTTAGGGTTTTTTACCCTTATTTCACAAAGTGAAATTCAAACAGTTGTTACACAGATTTGATTTTAAACTGATATTTCTTATAATTTGATTGATAATGAATTGTAGATAATTTAATATGTCAGGAAGTTTGAATATCATGAGGAAAAAACTCATAGTGTCACGTCCTGATGAACTATTTACCTCAAAACACTCATTGCAAAAGAGGCTGATTGGTCACAGAGTGCCGTGTCAAAACAAAAAAGAAAAGTTTAGTGAAAGGAAAAGCTGCAGCAGATAAAGAACCATGAGAGGATTCTGGAACCAGAGGGACTTTCACCATGAAGGTCGAGGTTAGAGTTTGTGCATCAGGAGCAACGATGCCCAGATATTTTCACCCAATAATGTTCTTAGAAGTGGCTCCAGGTAGAAAGTTTATTATTGATTCTTCATTGACTAATTCTTGCTGTTAAGGCTTGGCTGCATGCGAGTTTCCACCTGTAACTGAACAGGGAAGGTTTCTCCAACACAGGAAACATATCAGCACATGGATCCAAACATAATGGATTACAGATGCTTCTCTGCTCCTGAACACCTGACTCCCTCCTCAGCAGCCATAAATAGGTCCTGCAGAGGCTTGTGAATCATTTTTGGTCAGCTGTGTAAAGGCTGAGGTGTATAGATGCCTCTGAGCGTTTTAAATAAAGCCAATTGCTGAATTAAATGAATTGAAATGAAGATAGGTTAATTTTAGAAAGCATATGGAAAAATAAAACAATTTTTGAAAACCAGGTTTTTGGTAATTTACCCGTTTTTCCCCTATTCTTTGATCCTGTGCTGCGTTACAGTCCCATAATGCTTCTTTTTAGTGCCCATAAATAAATCATACATCTCTTTTTCATTCCCCAAAATTTCCGTGTGAAATAAATGAAACTGAAAAACTAAAAAACACTAAAATGACAAAAGCAATAAGAACCAGTTAATATGCTTTTGTTTTTTAAGGTTAAAAATATTGATGGGTACTACACCATCTTGTGGACAGAATTAGTATTGCAATTGAGTTAAAAAATACTATTAAACAAATTAAAATACATAGAATATATTTTAAAAATATATTCTATTAATGCTATTATTTCAGTTTGGTGCACAGTATTTTTTTCTACTTTATTTTCTTTTTGTATAGAAACGAATGAAATCTCTCTCAGATTTTGAGAAATGACATCAAATCAAAGATTTACAAGATACAGATATATCTTAAAACAGATAGAACTTATTAAAACAGACTGTTGTAACTTTGCTATATGTTGGGTTCTGAGATCACTTTCAAAGCATAGCATTTCTGTTAAAGTCCTTAAAATGATTCCTTAAGATATATCTGTTTATTCCTGGCAAAAAACTATAAGAAAGATTTAAAAGAAATAATCCAAAAGGGTAACAGCTGTGCTCAGTGCTTCTCTTCCTGCCCTGCTGGGGGCAGTGTGGAGCTCCACTTCAAACATTGAACAGTGGTCTACCTGCAAGCAAAGAAAATAAATATTTATGTTGTGTAACATTTTTTTATTATTATTATAAACTGACAGTTTTTTACCATCGGCATATTTTATAAGTGCATTCTTTATTATTGCTTGAGTTGAGCTGACTGAAAAACAAAGGGGGAGTGGCGGCCTAGTGGTTAGGGCATTACGCCTGGCTCCCAGAGGTTCTGAGTTCAAGTCCCACTCCCACAGACTTGCCACTCTGGGTCCCTGAGCAAGACCCTTCACCACACACTGCTTCCCGGGTGCCGCACAAGGGCAGCCCACTGCTCTCCAAGGGGATGCAACTAAGTAAAATGTATTTGTATAGAACTTTTCACAGATAAAAATCACAAAGTGCTTCACAGTAAAAAATGTAATACGATAAAACAATGTATATCAACATTTTTAAATACAAATGGAAACACACAAACAAAGCCATAAAAAACATGTCTAATTAAAAGCCTGCTTGAATAGTAGCATCTTCAATTGCTTTTTAAAAGAATCAACAGAATTCATGCAGGGTAAAAAAGGAGGCAAAGCATTCCACAGCTTCAGAGCCGCTGCCTGAAATGAATGAACCCCTCTGGTTTTAAAACAAGTGTGTGGAACCACTAACAGTGTTTGGCCTGTTGACCTCAGACTATAGGATGGAGTATGGAGCTCTACCAGCCCAGAGATGTAGGGAGGAACTTGACAATGCAGGGCTCTAAAAGTAAGAACAAAGATTTTAAATTGGATTCTATACTGGTCTGGTAACCAGTGCAGAGCTGCTTATACTGGTGTAATATGTTTTCTGTTATTCATGTGTCTTGCAGCAGAGTTCTACAAAACCTGAAGACGGTAAAGCTCCTTCTTCAAACAAGTAAAACGACTGTTGCAATAGTTTAACCGTGGAGATAAAAGCATGAATAATCATTTCCAACTCACCCTTTGACATCAGTGTCTTAATTTGAAAATATTCCTTAACTGGAAGTAACATTTCCTAACTTACTGTTTAGAGTGTTTCTCCAAGGACATGTTATGAGTTAAATACAGAGTGAATTCCATTGCTTTGAACTTGTGACAGTTTAATGAGAGTAAAGGTGAATTCTACTCTATTCTTTGAGCTTTGAACAAATTTGTTCATCCAAAAAGTGGAAACTTTATCATAATTATTTGCCTTGTGTCTCATGATCAAATATATCGAAAATCAGACTAATATGAAAATATTTTTGATTTGTAAAAACAACAATATGCTGACGACAAAAACATGCCAATTTATTTAATGCTAAAAATTTTTACATTTAAAGCTTGAAAGCAATTCAAGAACTTTAAAGATACTTATTTAATTTATGTAGGTAGAAAAAATAATCAAGGATTTGAAACAAACAAAGCAAAATATATCATCCTTTTATCACCATTAAAAGGGGCAACTCAAAATATTTGTGTTGCATGTTTACTAATAAAATAATAAATGATTTAAAAATGACGGAATACTTCTGTAACTGTGGTACAGGGGCACTAACATACCTTTTTACATGGTGCTAAAGGCTAAAACTTCTCTTTTCAAATAGCTGTACTGTGTGCCCCTCCCCCCTACAGAGCGGTAAGTTTTAGATTAAGATCATTTGTGTTAAACAAACACCTTTATCTCCAAATACATCAAATGAGATATTATTATCAAAAGGAAGGGTTTTTATTTTTAGATAACCTAGAAAATGAAGTTGCATTACTGGTATAGTGATTCTAACAACTCTTTAGTTGTGTACGGATGCACACCCTCCAGATAACGCATCATTAGCTCTGGATTAGATTTTCTTTTTAAGAAATCATTACAGGAAAAAAAAAAAAACCTTACTTACCTCTAGTTAAGTCCTGGATAATACTGGAAAAAAATAACCATTTAAATTAAACATTTGATTGCAGTTAATTCTCAGCAAGAAAATAATGTTCTAAAATCCCTAATAAGTTCACAAGCTGCTAATAATTTTTTTTTTTTTTTGGCAGAATTAGTCATATTCCGTATCTATCTTCCTGTGGATATTTCTCTTAACATGCAGTTGCATCAAATTCTGCCCCAAAAAATCAGAGCAAGTGAGATGCCTTACTGGGGGGGCTCCGCTGTGAGCGCTGGGATGCCCTGAGGGCCTGCATGCTTAGCTGCGGTACTGGAGTCCTCACCGGCCTGGGTCGGATCCCTGCGTTCCACTGGGTTTGCTTTAGCAGGCTCATGGCCGTCTCCTTGGTTAAAGTTTGCTCCTGAGGGGGAGAAGCCCATAAAGGGCGAGTTTGGATCTGATGATCTGAGGGAAGACAATAAGGAGGAGGTGGAGAGGAGCGCTGGGTTCTCGGGAACATCTGAAAAAGCAAAAAACCATTGTTAAAAAATGTAGAAGTCTCATAAAGAGGTTGCTAAACACACCGTCCCCATGGTGACACATGGTGGTGGCTGCATCATGCTAAGGGGACATTTGTTCTTTGTGGCTCTATGATAAAATTCCCTATGTCATACATGAAATGTTACGTTTTGGGACATAGGAGAATGTGAGCTAAAGTTAAGCTGCTGTAACAGCAATCCCTGTTTCTCCCTCTGCTCCTCCTCTCTGTGTGTTTTTAATTTTATAATTCATGATGCCTACTGGTTACACGGTTGCAGAGCTTATTGCTCCCTGAAATTCAGCCAGCGGTGGTGCAGCATAGGGTGGGATTTACCATTGATTTTGCTTTGCGTAGTTTGTAACTAGCTTCAGAGAGCGTTTTCCTCTTCCCTTCACTGCTCTGGGATCCACCGCTGCAGTAAGTAAATGAAGACCTGTCGTTAGAATGACTTCAAAATAACTATAAATGAAGCAGTTAGGACATCTACATTGTAGTTTCTTTAATTGTAGAGGTTTAAAAAGCTGTATTAAAAGCCCATATCACCCAGTATCCTGAAACCCACTATGTCAGGGCCTGATCGATGGGATGCAGGTTGTCCAGGTAGTTGAAGCGTATTGTATCCTTGGGATGTCTGTCTGAGTGTCTCCATGGTGGCAAAGCCTTTGCCTTCTTTTCTGTCTTTAATCCTGAGCTGGTTGCAGGAGGCTGGGAGCTGGAAAGTGGACCCTCCTTGCTTTTGTAAACCGGTTCTGGTGCTCCTTTGCATCCACCACTCACTGCTGTAGCATCAGGTACTATAATCTCCTGTGGAATCGACTGTGTCTGGAAACACACTACACACTTTTAATGCTGCTACCCCGACTAAAGCTTTGTAACATTTTTTTTCTCATGTAACAACCACTTTTTTTTATCATTGCAATGCCTTAGACCCCATAGGTTGGACCAAGTAATTATTAAGTGTAAATTCAGAATGGGTAACACTAAACAAGTCCAAAGTCTGAGAGTTTGAAAGCTTTTCAAGTCTTTCTTAGTTTGGATCATCTGTTAAATGGGAAAAAAAACATGCTTTTTAAAATATCTATTTATCTTAACATGTGACAAAACCATTGCAACCAAGCTTTTGCTAAGAAGATAGATATAGCTAAAGTCAGCCATCTCATTGTAGCAAACAAAAGGTACTGCATACCTTTTACCATCCAACTTTAAACCCTGAGTTATATTTTTCTCCATCTCCATTTGGGATCTTGGCTCTATCTTGGCCCCACAGTAGCTCTACCTTTCTTATACTCTATCCAAAATACTTAGGTTATCCTGAGCTATTTTCTGCATTTGTGCTGCTATAGGCTTAGACTGCTGGAGGACATAGAGACCCCTTTTCATCATTCTGCTTCATTCTACCTCTATTCTCTCACTCTGCAGAATCTGTTAGTTCAATCTCTAACATTATTCTCTCTCTGCTTTTTCTCATAGTAGCTTCATCTGGCATGTTCCTGTTTGGCTGCGGCTACATCCTGGAGAGAAATATCAGCTGTCCTGCTGCCATCAACTCCTTTGTTTATAGATTTTGGAGCCTGGCCTGTTTTTCAGTGTAGTCCTGTCATGGCCACCCTAAGTCAATCTTTGTTGTACCAATGTGGCTGTAATTCATCTCTGGAACAAGCACTTCTCAGATAAACCAGAAGGTTGCAGCAGTGATGCCATCAAGCGAAATGTCCTTTAGGTTTATTTTCTTAAAATGACAACTTAATTACAACAATTCATTATTTACAACATCATAGTAGATATGACGGAAACTAAAAGAGAGATCATACTTATACCTATACTTAATACAGAGATTATGTTTTAGGTTTTATAGAGGAAAGTCTGCAGTCATCTAGAAGTCTTCTAGATAGTTAAAGATCTATATATTACATAGCACCATAAATTAATGTATAAATACTTGAAAAAGCTTTATTATCAAGGACTTCATGAACACCAGCATATTTGTCTTGGGTTTTTTGCTTTTTGCAACACTAAATAAGGTCTGGTGAATATGATTGATTGTGCTGTAGCTCCTTTGCACATAAATAAAGAGTATGAAGACACATTGAGACGGTCATTTACATAATAGACGTTTTGAACTTTGGATTTTTCTGTTAAAGTGACTGTCAATTCATAAGTCTTTGAACATTTTTTTTCAAATCAGTTTCTAAAGCCACAAAATGTCCCCAACCCTGACTAACCCAACACACACAAAATGGTGAGTAGAACCAGCAACCGGTTCAACCAGAATAGAACTAAAAAGTCCTTTTCCGTTATGTGTGTCTGACATTTTTGGTATGTCTTCTTTGCTAAACTATTAAAAAATAGATAATCTAAAGTAATAGAATACATAATAGAATATATAAAATAGATAATCTTTTCTTGTGCAAATATGTGCTACTTTAATATACTGAGGATTGATAGCATGACAAAAATAAAGGTAGGAATAATTTTGAAAGGCACTGCATGAAATTCTCCTGACCTGCAGCAGTCTGAGTTGCAGCTCCTGAACTGACTCTATGTAGTGTCTCTTCCAGACGCCCTGCTCAAAAGGTGAGGGGGAGAAGGTAATACACCAGCCCCGCCTCAGACATTTAGGCATCCACAGCTGGTCCAGCTCCACGATGCTCTTCCAATGCCAGCTCACCTTTCACACAGGGAGAAACACCCTTATAGACATGAAAGTAGGACTTCCTGAGCTGCTTTCAACAATGCGTACCTGAGCACATCTACAGAGGCTGCGAGGGTCCAGGAAGGAGAATAAGTAGAGGCAGAGGACTCTGGGCAGCAGGCAGGTGAAGTCTGCCGTCTGCAGGGGGAGCACCTTGTTCACTTTGAGGTTCAGGAACTGGAGCTGCTCCTCAGAACAGTTCAGCATAAAATCCTGCAGCACAGCCTTCCTCTGACTGTCTGACCACCTGTCAAACTAAAAGAGACCAAAATAATCACCCTATTTAGCAAAGGCAAGCAATAGTCTGTGTGAGGTTTGCTCATAAACAGACCCATTTTGCCAGAAGGAGTCTCCTCTCATCAAAAATCTGGGAATCAAAGGAGGATTTTTTTTAATTAAATACCTATGTTCAACTTTTATTTTTTACCTAACCAAATAAAACATTTTGCTTTAATAGAAACACATGAGCAGCGCCTCTGAAAACCGGCTGATGTGGACCTTGGTGTTGATGAGTGGATGGTTCAGAGGAGTCCAGGCACTCCGCTTGGTTTGCATCTTAGCAGAGTTAGCTGAGGGCCTTGATTCAAGCGGCATCTGAAGGGAACACAAAGACACAACTGGTAAACGCACTATGTCTCTAATGAACCCTTTTTGCACTAATCTGGATATTTATTTAGGATCTTTATTTTTTTTTTTTTTGCTAAAAGACCAAATGATGACCAAGCAGCAGACTCTGGTTTTGTTTTTCCTTATATTATAAACAGTTCATGATGTTATGAATTACAGATCCTTCTCTGCAACCAATAGTAGATGGTAGATGAGTATTTTTTGTATATATAACATAATCCTTTGCTTCAAATGAAATCCAGCAGCAGAGGTTTTAGTCTGATCCAAGCAAAGCATACAGTTCCAGCTGGGTTTAGTAATATCCATATGATAATGTTTGTGGTTCTATGAAAGAAAAGCCCTTTTTCTGCCAAAATACTGGTTGGAATGTTGGACTTAGAAAGAGCCTCTGAGTCACCATGTTTTTATACAAGGAAAGCAAGATATCATTCATAAATGATTAAAAGCCTTAATCAGCCTCAGAAATGTAAAATAGAAATAAAATCTAAAATTATAACTTTAATTTATCTAGGAGAAGATGAAGAAGCTCTTAGTAGAGTTAGAAGCTTGTTTAAGTAAATAACTAAATAAAAGCATTGTAATATATTCAGAAACGCTAAGAAACTGTTGTTGAAGACATGCTCATTTGTTTAGGAAAATCATAGATCTGTGAAAGAAATACATTCATTCGATTTGCAGTTAAGCGTGTATTTTTGTCAATTTACTTAAAGCACCGTGTGATTATAAAGATGTTCTTTGTAATTTTTGTTCTTTTTCTGTTTTCCTGAGTGACAGACCAGCAGGGCGTGGCCCAGAGATGGGGGGGAAGAGAGCAAGGCCAGATCAGCAGGTCAGCCCTGCTCACTCAGTTCTCATTTCCCTGTTGGGTATAAATTATGTGAGTTCTCCTCCTCTGTCATCTTGTTTAGGTCAGTTTTCTGAGTGAAATTCTGCATATTTTCTCTGCTTTAGTCATTTTCTGTTAGCCATTTTTTCTGTGTATTAGTATCAATTTGCTTTATCTAATAACCTCATCAGTTATAATTGGAACTTTGTCTCTACTGAAGTTCATCAGGTGAAATAAAAATCTATTTTTCAATAAATTTTGCTGCTTTCCTCATTCCCTCACCTCATCCATCCTGGTGATGGATAAATTAGAATTCCCCTGCTTTTATTCTCTTCTAAAATGGCAGATATTACACAAAAGCGTGCGAAACTAGGTGGAGATGATAAGATCATTGTTGCATTGCATAGATCCTAAAGTTTGAGGTTTTTAGGAAGAACATTCTAGCAGTGATTATGAGTTTAAATAGTCAACAAACTGGATATAAGTAATTTCATTGTACAGAAAATGGTGTACACACATTCAAAAGAACTGCCAACGTTAGAGTGACTGTCCAAGGAAGTTCTTGCTGAAAGATGAAAGTGGCATCCAAAAACCCTGACAGGATCTACAGCAGCAAAAAGAATGAATGAGGCTCATTAGAGATGTTCAGGGAGGAAATAACATTTTTTAGAGAGGTGAGTTGATAGAAATATTTGTACACTAGGATAGGACATGTTTGGAATAACCTGTTTAGAACATTACTAGAGAATAACCTCTAACCAACAATGAAGAACAGAGATGGAGATGTCATAGTATAGGGTTGCTTTGCTGCACCTGAGGTGCAGCTGCTGAGAATTATTTTTGTGTTTTAACTGGTTTGGCTAGTGTCATTGTTATGTGTGTAAAGCATAGCCAATGAAGGAACACTCAATTTAGGTTTTGTAAGTTTTTTTTATGAAGCTTGATTAATATTTTGCACAGCATACAGCCTCAAAATATTGTTTATTGTATTATTTATCTATTTATTGTATTTTGTTTATCAATGAAAAAATGTCTGTAGAATTTTGGAGTCTTTGTTTTTATCCTTGTGATATCGAAAATGACATCGAGTATCGAAGTATCGAGTTGAAAAGTTTAGTATCGTGACAACCCTAATATATATATATATATATATATATATATATATATAATTTTAAAGGTGACATTAAAAAAATATATACTTATTAGCATTAAAAAATTTACTGTGAAAGAATATTTAATGTAGTGTCTCATACTTTCCACTCTACTTTGTATAACTGCATCGTATTAAAACATAGTAAACTCAGCGCTCTGCATTTGAAAACTTTTTAAAACTCACCATCTGCAATATTTTTTGAAAATGTAGCTCCTGAGCTTACCTTACGCACGTCTGTATCCAACTCTACTTCTGCTCTACTTTACGTTTCTCTTCTGCACGGTTGACTCGTTTCCATAGTAACCCTGTGTGGACACTATAATAGCGTGGACAGATTGCCACTGCCTGCCACACACCAGGGGGAGTCCTAGCTAGAGGTAGAGTAGAAGACTAAAATAATAAAAATTTTTAGAGATTTTATAAGATTTTGCCTCTAACAGATGGGCTAACAGATGACCGCATCTGAAAAATAAATATATTTATTTTAGTTATTTAGTTTTTTATTGTTATTGTTTTCTTTTTCAGATTTATTCCCCATAGAAATGTGTTTTATGTTTGTATATCATTTTCAGCAACAAATGGATCAAAAAAAGGTCTGAAAAGTTTACATTTACAGAAGAGAAGCGAGAGTGGAGTGACGTCAAGTTAGGGATGTTCACCCAGCGCTGGACCGGAAGTAGCCTGAAGAAGCGCCCCAAATAGTAAAACAAGGAAAAAAAAACACGAACAATAGCTCAAGACTGGTAGAAACAAGTGAAAAACAAAACAAAAAAACAAATCTGAATCAGACATTTCTAAATGAAAATCTTGACTGGAAAAAACATGCAATGATTGATGGAAGCATATTGAAAAATATCAGGTCATAACCTGAAACTTACACTCCTAAATGATTTCAGCCCCTGTGTTGCGTATGAGGGCACTAAACAAATGCAAGACAAAAAAAACAAAACAAAACAAAAAAAAAAACAGGAAAATATTATATTGTTGGATATATTGTGGCTCCTGAGCTGGGAACTGTGGTATTATCTCAATGTGGCGGAATCTTAAAGTGTATCAACTTAATTTTCAAATTGTTGATGTTAGTCTGTAAAATTTAAAAATTTTATTGATTCAGTAATACTTTCAATGCCAGTCAGAATATATCTTAATAAGAAACTAATTTAATATTATGTCTCTGGTAATGGACCATAAAAGGGTCGGGCACTGGCCCTTGCTGGCCCCTGTCTA